TCGACATGGCAATTCTGAATAAAGACACTATAAACACCCATGTGCAGGTTTTTGTGTGATCATTTCCAGATCATTTAAGTAAATACCAAAGAGTGTACAAGAAACTTGCCACTGTTCAATATAGCAGAACCATTTTGCATTCCTACCCGGTGCTCCGCAACCGCGCCATCATTATTTGTTGTTGTCAGTGTTTTGGATTTTAGCCATTCTAGTAGGTATCTAATAGTGCTATCTCATTTACATTTCCCTGATGACGTATGGATGTTAAACATCTTTTCATGTGCTTATTTGCTATCTGTATTATTCAAGGTTGTCAAGAGACAGAACCTAAGATAGGTCTAAAGATACATAAAAAGGGATTATTCAGGAAATTGGCTCACATGAGTATGGTGGCTGAGAAGTTCCATGATAGGTCATTTGCAAAGCCGGAGACCCTGGGATTCTGGGATTCTGATAGCATGGCTCAGTCTAAGTCTGATGGTTTCCAAACCAGGGAAGCTAATGATAATGTTTAGTCAAAAGTCTGAGAACCTAGGGCTATTGTGTAAATTTTGGGGAGCCTGGAGTCCTGAAGTCCAAGGGAATGGTATTTCCCAGTTCCCAGAGAGGGAGACCAATTTGGCTTTGCTGTTTTTTTTTTTTTTTTAATCTTGGCCGCTGGCTGATTGGATGATGCCTGCCCATACTCTCCCACTACTGTCTGTCTACTCACACTCACATGCTAATCTCTTCTGGAACACCCTCACAGACACGCCCAGAAATTATGTTTTACCAGTTCTCTAGTATTACTTAATCCACTCAAGTAGACATCTATATGCAAAGCAAACAATTGTTATTTTATAAATCTTAAAGGATATCTGATTAACGGTCTTAACTTGACTTTTCCTCCTGAACACTTAAGTCTTAGAAAGTGATCAACACATAGTTTAAAAGCCTAATTGTTGGTAAGTGATTGAGGCACAGTTAAAAAAGTTAATAACTACTGACTACCACCATGCTACTTGAAATAGAAGTTATCATGTATATTATCTTATTTGAAGATATTTTTGACAGAAAAAGCAATATTTGTCATTTGTAAATTTTCTTGTTCTAAAGAAAGCAGTTATGTTTTATAGATAAAAATTTTGTAAATAAAGGTTATTTTATACTAAAGGAAAAAAAAGCAAGTTGATATCTAAAAGTAACTTTCACAAGGCCAGATAGTGATCCAGCAGTAAAATGTAAAGCTCTGCAAGGCAAGGCTATGTGGGGGATTTCCAGGTTCATGTCCAGAGACCTCCCTGAGTACAATGAATATGCATGTGCCCATGATCTGGGTGGGGATGGCTGAAGCTAGGTGCGTATAGCAGCTTCAGGACCCAATCAATGCTACTATCTCTCTTGCACATGCTCACAAAAGAACTAAACAATCATAAAAAAAAAAAAAAATTGAAAAAACCAAAAAGAAGTACATGGGCCAGTAGGAAGCATAGGGTTTAAGGCATTGGATCCCACATGACCAAATGCACATTTCAAGTCCGGACCTGGTAGCTTGAAAATCAGGTCAGGTGTATTTGTGTGCCACAAATCCCGAGAGGAGACTGGAGAAGGGATTGTGGCATGGACATCTACTCTGAGGAGTGATTTCTTACCTTCTCTTTCTCTCTCTCTGTCTATCTGATGAGTGTACACACCCTAGAGCAAAATTAAAAAAAAAAAAAGGAGCCATTATACCATCTTCAATATCTTCTTTTATGAGGCATTTGTTCAGATCTTTTGCCTATTTTTTTTTGGAGAGAGAATTTTGCTAAAGGTCATGTGCAGTTGCTAGAGACACACAGAAACAGAAACCAGGAAATCACCCCACTTTCCCCTGGGGGGATGGCCATGTCACAATCCCTTCTCCATTCTTCTCTTGGGATTTTGGGCTTGCAGGCACATATACACTGAGTTTAAGCCGTCAGGTCTGGGACTTGAACCATGGTCAATTATGTGGGAGTCTGATGAAGTAACCATTACACCATCTGCTGGTCCCTCTTTTGCCCATTTTAAAATTAAGTTCTTTTTTTTCCTCATGGTTAAGGTTTTTTTTTTTTTTTTTAGAGATTCTTGCTATGGGGCATGTGTACTCCCTGGAGAGACAGAAAGTAAGAAATCACTCCCCCAGGGTAATTCTCTTGGGATTTTGGGCACACATGCACATGTGCCTGGTCTGAGTTTCAAGTTGTCAGGTCTGGGACTCAAACCGTAGTCAACTACATAGGAGTCCAACGACGTAACCATTACTCCATCTGCTGGTCCTCTTATGATTGAGTTTGAAGAGTTCTTTAAATTATTATTTAGTTACTTTTGTTTCACAAGTCCTTTTTCTGTAATAGGCAGCTAGCTAGAAATGCATGGACAGCCCTAAGATAATAGCAGAAGGACATCTGTCACATCAATCACAATTTGTCACAACTTATCAGGAGTTACAATCTGACCATCTGCAGAGACTCCTTTCTACCGTCAGTCTACCGTCAGTTCCTGGCAGTAAGGTGAGGCAGATCCCAATTTGCTTCTTTAGTACCTAAGGAAGACACATGAGGACAGTTATAAATTTCCCTCTTATCATTCCTTACACATACAAAAAGATCCAACAGGATGTTTTGGTCAACATCCTGATTTCCACTAGGGCAATAAAATAATTGGGCAGTTCATCAAAATAAGGATGTGCCTATCATCAAGACTCACACTGGGCATGTGCAATTAGGTAATCAAATTCCTCAAATTCTTCCCCTGTGAGAGAGATGCAAGCCATGAAAAAGCCCTCAATTCACACAAAGAAGACAGATAACTATGACAGACCTCCCACTGTTAAATATTCATTACCACGTCTAGTAATAAAAACACCCAACCAGTTCCAAACGCAGTTGCTACCTAGCCTGCCCCAAAATCTTTCAAATGTACCTCTCCAAAATCTTTCTTTCCTATTAAATAGTCTTTTCTACCTATTTTTAATTGTGGTTGTGGCTTTATTTCTTGCCTTAGGGCAGGTCTCTAATTTTAGAGATCTAGACCTAAAAAAATCAAAGATTTTACACAATGCAGCTCAACATTCTCCCATGCTATGACATTTCTTCCTACGAAGACAACTCAAATCAAAGTGGATTCTTTCCCCACTCAGAGGAAGAGATGCTGAAAGTGCAGTTTAGGGTGGAAAATCAAAAGCACATATTGGAATGCTTCCTTAGTTTAAAAGCATTAACATACTCTCTTTGGCTGTCTTTCTCTCCTTCCACTCTAGCTTTACATATGAAATGCTAACTGAGATCACAGAATAGCATATTTTTAGAGTTAAATTAATGGGTATAGATAAGGACACCTAGACTCAAGCAGAGTACTTTGCCTAAGGTTACCCAGCTACCAAATGAGGCAAGGCATGAATACATGCCTTGGTTTGTCTAGTTCTAACATCTGTGCCCTTAGTTATGAGCTGTACAAAATGCCTTTTCTTTTTAAGAGAGATTTTTGCTATAGGGCTCGTGTGCTTGCCAGAGAGACAGAAAGTAAGAAATCACTCCCCAGGGGGATGGTCATGCTGCAATCCCTTCTCCTCCAGGGATTTTGGGTACACATGCACACTCACCCCACGTGATTTTTAAGCTGCGTGGTCCAGGACTTGAACCGCAGTAAACTACATGGGAGTCCACTGACATAACCTTTACACCATCTGCTGGTCCTACAAAATGCGTTTTCTGTGAAGTCTCTTCTGCTTTGTAAGGACTTCCATTTACAACATAGCACTGTAATCAGGTTTACCAGGCAGCATCCCCCAATACACCGGACCTTTTTCAGTTACCTTTCTCCTCCTAGCACCTTGCACTGTTTGGCACATACTGGGACCTTTAATTTGTTATTTCAACAGATATTTATAGATCACTTGCTATGGACCAGGCGTTGTACTGGTGTTAGAGAAATAAAAGGGCTTTGCCAACAGAGACCCCTTACAATATCATTTTAATACTAGGTTATCAGATTAAAGTTATACACATGTAAGGTAAAAAGAAAGTGACCAAAAGTCTGGACAGAACTTCAAACACTTTTATACAGAAAAATAGAAGAGAGCAATGTGAACGTCTTTCTCCTTGACAGATAAGAGGCTGCACCTTGTTAGATCTTCGCACCATGCATACTTTTGAGTGACCCTTGAGCTCTTTCTGGAAGCCTTTACAGTTCCAAGGGTCTGAAGACCTCTATTTGCACTGCAGTAGAGGTCCAGCCCTTTATCAGGCTTATTGAACTCTCCAGAGATAAAACAGGGAAGCGAAAAGAAAGATTTCATTGTCATAACTTCCCGTAGTCACTGAGGTCACAGCTTTACGGAAAGACACCTACTCCTATGGTGATCACATCCTGACAGAATTACACATTGGGGCAACCGGCTGGGTGAGGGAAGGAGAGCCACTTCCGGTAGGGTGGACGTAAAACTTTTAATTGAGGTGCTGTAACGCTTAGAGGGCAAGTGGAATGGGTGACGACTGTCCCGGAACGGTCCCCGATGTTTCTGTTCTCTCCCTCCTTCTCATTAAAGGCTGACGCCGAAGGAAGACGTTCTTGGCTCCTCGGCGGCCGCAGGGCGGTTCTGCAGTCTTCGGTTCCCACAGCAGCTCCCGTCGCCCGGGGCCGTAAGGAAGGCGTGGACGCGAGGACCCACGCCCGGGGCACTG